ATATATAAATATATATATATAGTGCCAGGAAATATGGAAAAAATATGTAATACTAGGGAGAGAGGCATAAGCCACAAATTTAGATTGTGGCTTTCATTCAGATCTGTCACTTCCAGATTTACTGAGAGGTTTGGCCTTCATGTATTATTTTCTCATTTGTGTATTTATAACTATGGTCTATGGGCTGTATTCCGCCTTTCCAGATGTGGTACATTTCAAACACTGCAGTAGATTTGGTCCAAATCTATTTCTAGAATCTTTGCATGTCTCCTTCTGAACCTGTACTTTCCTCTTTCACTTTTTCCCTCTCTGCAGCAAAAAGTTCAATTGAAAACTAGATGCATAGTAGCTGCAGGAGGATGTCTAGGTGGTTTTGAATGTTATAGTTACTTTGGGAGCTTTGCCTGATAAAGAGAAAAAGATATAGCAATCTTCCAATAAAAGAAATGGAATTACAATAAAACAAATGAGTGTGTTCTAAAGCAAGAAGAATGTAACCAATTAAAAATTTAATAATTCTCATTGGATTAAGGGGTAGTTATGTACAAGCTGATGTGAAGGCTTAGAGTGGGGTCTCCCTAAGATGCACAAGTAAAGCATGCTAGTGCTATGATCAGCTTTTAGTCTTCTGAGGAAAAATTGTAAGAGGTAATTAAGGTATTTCTGCTTAATAGTCCAAACAGTTAACTTTAAGTTTAGACTAAGGAAGAAATACAATATGCATGTGATGATTATGCCTATTTTTATGTAGCAAACTAAGTTTACAAAAAATTCTTTGATTTTTATTTGATTTATTAATTGAACTGTTTTTGATGATTGATCTCCTTTCATGCCATCAGACTAATCTTCAGGTACGTAGCATTCAACAATGCCTTCATCACCATGACTTGGTTTCTGGAATGGTTTTGTTTTTCTGTGTATGTTTGTGTGGGGTTTTTTGGTTCATTCATGGTACATGTTCATATTCCCTCATTCGTCATTGTCTCACAGTGATATGGTAAAGCTCGTAGAAGTCTCCAACGACGGTGGGCCTTTGGGAATCCATGTAGTGCCTTTCAGTGCCCGAGGCGGAAGGTAACGTATCGTGTAGGATTTTAATTGAATCATAACTTGCTGTGTTTTATCTTGTGTTAATTTTTGTATTGTGTGCCTTTGCCTTCATAGAATGCTGTATGTTTTTCAAAAAGAATTTTCACTGACTAAGAAAGGAAAAGATGGAAGTTTACTGACTCTGTACTTGGAATGGACTTTATAATGGAAAGGCTCTGCTTAAAAGGAGTTAGAACTGCAGAGTTTTCTCTTGTAATGTCATGGGAAATTGAATTATAAGGATGTTTACTTTTGGACTCTTCAAAATTATCTACTGCTTTAATTCAAGTGTCTATGCAACATTTCCTTGCTGACTGTTTAGAGCCCCAAGTTCCCAGATGACATCAAGAGTCTAAACCAGAGGTGTCCTACGTCTGTGCTTGATAAGAGTGGAAGAGAAAAGATCATCACACTTTCGATATTTAGCATTGTTCCATCTGTTAGGGTTAAAATGAAGTAGCAAACCGGGTTAAAACATTCTGGTTTTGGGGAAGATGAACCTGTTTTAGTTATATGGCAAGCTGGAACTCCTGAAGTTGGAATGATTACCAAAAAAAAAAGTAAAGAAACTAATTTACATTAAAGATATCATTTAGGGGATTAGATTAGTAAACAGAATGCATCATCTTTAATGCCTTGCTAAAGTAGAGTTTTAGTATTCAAGGTCATTAACATAGTCTCAGAGAAATAGCTTAACTTTTGTAGTAATTAGTAATGGATTTGAAGCCTTTAAGTATGTTGAAAAAATGATAATTCTTCAGGAATATGAGCAAATTTTATTTTGGTGATGCATATTCTGAGTACACACTGTATTTTCCATCTTTAAGGAAAAGGGGAACAAATACATTTTTAAAAAACTAATCTTTGATTACACGAGGGGGTATTATGTTCTCACATCTGTCAACCCAGAAGCAATTTCAGCTGAGTAATTAAGAGCAAAACTAACTTGCTATATATATATATCTATATCCCTCAAAAATTAGTATCAGCCTGTTTTCAGAGATGATAAATGTATTTTTTCCTTCTATACCTAAGACTTTCAGAAGATTTTAAATACCATATAAGAGCTTTATTTGCCATTGTTTCTTTAAACCCAATGCTTTCGTTGCCATACTGACATGTATTATGAGAAAATGTAATTTGTTTTTTTTAAATTTAAAGCTACTTTTTCTGAGGACTACAAGTATTAAGAACAAAATTCCATAAGGTGGTAAATACTTCTATTCGTGATCTGAAATTTAGTAAAATCAGTGTGGGGATGGAAAGGGCATGAGTGAATGGTACTTCAAACATAAGCTCACAAGCAAATCCCCTAAAGTTGGAGATGGTTGAAACGTTCACACAGTTATCTGGGATTTAGACAGTGGGAAGGCCAGGAAAAAGACTGGCTGCCTTCTAAGCACTTGTTTGATAAAATTGATGTTAGGAATGTATTTTTTGACATTTTGAATAATAATTTTAACTCAAGTAAAATTCACTTCCAGGCTGTTAATATGGTTGTCACGTCTGAGGCGAAGTTTAAACTGTTTATACATGATGATAGCATGTAAAATGAAAAAGCTGTAAACATGGAAATAAAATACCTCACTTTTTTTAAGGACGCTAGCTATTTCAAGAGCTACAAAGGGCTTTTAATATTTTTTTCCTGAGTTTGAGATTATATGATAAAGTTTTATTACAGGAAGGCCAATTTTGTATATATATATCTTTAGAATCAAGACATACTTGAAAATCAAATTCTGTTACAAGGGAAATAATTTTTATATTAAAATTTATCAACTTTTTCTTCGTAATACTAGAACCCCCCTCATTGAAAAATGGATGGTATGTGCAATTGCTATCTGAGTTTTTTTGAACCCTCGCAAAATAATCTGCTGGAGAGGGGAAATAACTTCGGTAAATGTCTTGAAACTGTCTTGAAATTATGGAGGAGCAGTCAGAGTTGGAGAGGACCTCGGATATTTCCAAAACATTTTCTCCTGTGCTTCTGTGGAAGAAAAGTAGAGTTCATTGCTTGGTGTTGATTGATTTACTCCTGGTACCCGCTCTTTTGAGCAGATAAGAGATCCTTGGTTTTACTTTTGCTAGTTTCAGAGGGGGAGCAGATGCTTGGCAGGGATCCTCTTCTGCCTACTTGTTTCTCACTCTAGCACATGGCTGCTCTTTGTTCCTCCTCTGGCTGCAAAGCACACTGCTCTGAGCTTTAGTGAAATAGCTTACTTGACCAGGGGATCTGTTCAGTAGAAACCTAAATATACAAAACTGAACACAGGACTCAGTAAAGACTTCGAGGGATGTCAAAAAAAAAAGTTCTGTTATATAACTTAGTCCGTTGTCCCACTGTTTTATATATTTGCTTGGTGTTCAATTCCAGTTGTGCTGTGTTCTCAATTATTTTTCTTCCAGTTTCTCTCTTTTGCTTTTGAAAATGTGACTTAATAAGCAATGGTTATTAAATCAATAATTTTTACAAGTGAAAAAGTGTAAAAACATACTAATGCAATTCTTCCCTTTTTCCCCTATGCAATAAACATGGGCCTTCTCCCACCAAAAAATCCCCTCTTCCCCAACACAAACACCCCAAACCTCTAAAAATTATATGCCATGACTATGTGCTTTATTTGTATTTAGGAAATACTTGACTTTTGCAGTCACTTGAGGGTTTGCGTTTGGAGTAAGAATCTGTCTTCAGTATTGGCTTTTGATCTTGAACAAAATCTGTAAAGGTCTCTGCCTCATCTACTAATTATTTCTGTTCCTGGTAAAGCTGAGACATTTTTTTAAATTAAAAACAAAATGAAACAAAACCAAAAGCAAAAAAAACCAACCAAACCAAACTCTCTGTAATTCTCTGGGAAAAGTACTATGTTCAAACTTTCTTCTATGGATACGTTTCCTTATTATCTTTCTGTTTTTACCTCTCGAAGGTCATCAGTCCTTTATTGGCCTTTTTGATCATATGCTTTGGTAACAGAGTTTGTTCCCCTTAATCAAAGGGAGGGGTGTGTACATATTCATCACCTTATGGTTGTGAAGTTCTTAAAAATAAAAGTTTTGTTTGCAAAACCTGCTTGCACGTTTTTGCAATGGCATAGATGCAATGCTAAGCAGAGTAGGAGGCATGAAAATGAAAACAGAAAGGAGGACAGAATAGAAGGTGAATAGGAAAGTTTAGATAAAGAGTAGAGCCAGAGGAAACAAATGAGCAGAAAGCATAAGAGGAAAGAAAATTCTAAATCTGTGCAATATTGCCTTTAGCACCAGTCCTTCCTTCCTTCTTCATACAGAAGGAATCAGGTGCTCAGAGGGGAGAGCAAGTACTCAGGCCCTTAAGAAAGCATTTGAGCAGGCCTGGATGATGGAGGATGTTGTGTTGATGCATAAATGGGGTTGCATCAAGTTCTCCTCTGCAAGCTTATGTAGCCTCTTCTACTTTCAAGAGACTTCAAAATTTTCTCAAGCACTACACCCTCACTGCTGTTCTGAAATCCTGCCATGTCTGCCTTTGGTAGGGGGTTCAACTGACACAAGGAATATATGAGATAACATCAGAAATCTCTGTGAATAATGATATGGAAGTTATAGTCCCATTGACCCAAGACTACTGTGAAGTGCACTTAGTAAAACAGAACATAAAAGGATTTGGATATTCATCTGAAAACCCCATGAACAACATCCATTAATAAGTATCAGACACATTACTTTGGTGCAGAGCAGTGAGTATATAGGGCTCTGCAAGCTGTTTTTCCTATCGAAGCATGCCACAAAATCCACGATAAACAGTTCAGCTGAAACCTGACAGCTAAAAATAATTAATCTGTGTTTTCATGTTACATTTCCTAAATGTCTTAAAAATATTAAGGAAGTCTCAGAAGAATGGAAAAATAAGAGACTGAATTTTCTTGCTTTTTGTCAGTTTAAATGACAAATTTAACAGATTTTATTAAAAAACTTGAAAAACCTCAAATGAAGGTAGGCAGTGATGTATACACAGTCTGCGTACTAGATAATTGTTTATATGCTTTTCTATTCTATACTTGTTTTTTTTTTTATCTTTTAGTGGTAATGCCCTTCATTTTCTAGAGTTTATAAATCACTTCATCTTTTACTGTAAAAGTTTTATTCTTCTACTCAAGATACAAAGAACACTAAAGTAACATTTAATGGACTTTATATATACTGAAGTCCTTAACACTGCCTTCAAGGTGCCTCTCTAACGATCATATTCTCTTTGATCATCCAGTAGGTATGCGTTATTTGCATCTCCATTTATTCCTCTCCTGCATTCCAACCTTTTAAGTCTCAAAGGTAGCGATGGTTTTGAAAAACATACATTGGGAAAAGACTCCCTGTGGTGTGAATGTACCATTCCCTCACTCTTTTAGCTGAATTCAAGGCTTTCTCTATCTGATCTCATCCTTTTACATGAAGTTATATGAACTTAATTTGAAGTATTATTCAAGATAATTTGAAGAACTGTTCAAGGAGTAGTTACCAAAGGCTGGAAATTGTTCTGGACTTCAGCCGTGAAAGCTGATAAAGTTGTTTTAAGGCCTCCGCAGTAGTACTGTGTTGTTGATGCGGTGCAGAGGAGTTTATGTCCAATTTAGCATTGATCAGCGACAATAATTTAACTTGAACAAACAAGCTGATTTGCCTACTCTGACCGCTGAATCTCAGGAAATTTATACTGTGTTTATCTTGTGTAGAACTTCTCAGAGGTCTTTCATTGCGTGAAACCGCTAGACATCTGCTTTTCAATCAGTCCTTATTTTTGCCCCTTAATCTAGTTTTTGCCTTTTCATGTTATTGACTTTACATAAACATCTAAATTGGTTATTTTCTGTTCTGTCTGATTTGATTATATTACAGTTAGCTTGCAGGTAATAGGTAAATAACTTCAGTGTGTACGTACAATGGGCGGTGATGGCCGAATCATATTCTAGATGCTCAATGTAATATTTTTATTACTCTCATAGTATTTACACTGTCACTTTTTATTAAGACAAATTATCATCATTTCCATACAGCTGGATGACATGTGGGGAGTTCACAATTTCAAAGAACTACACAGACTAACTCAGGCAATTTAGATGTCAATAAAACATTCACTGCTTATTTCTAGTTTTATCATTGGTTGTAATTTATACTGAGAACTGAAATGTTAGCACATGTAGCTGAGTTTATTTTAATTGTATAATTAGAGTAATGAACCTTGTGGAAATACAGTGGTGCAAATGCTAATACAATCTTAAGATGTTTACATTCCCAATTAGATATTTAAAACAAATACAAAGATTGAGCTCTGTGCTTTGATACTGTTTCCCTTCTGTTCCCACGTCAGCTAACGTTGGTCTAAATCAGTGCAGGTGCCAAATTTCCATTTATAATTATTTTTTTGACAGACCTGTAGACTTGCAGAGTGTTTTGCAGGGGTTCACACAATATTTAATCTCATTCTTGAAGAAGTTACAGTTTAGAACGTATGTAATGGAAGAATTTATGTTAGAAAACATGCTGACTTACTTTAGCTAGACGAGATTGAGGACATTCAAATGCACCCATGTATTTTTATGCTACTTGGTTGTGTTTAAACACATACATATATACTGACTTTCGTATTTTATGCTAGATTAGTTTACAGGCTTTCAAAATTTATGTTTTCCTACTGTAGGAAATGTAATACTGAAACTGTAGTAGAGATACATCTCCATTTATCAGGATTAATGGTGGTGGCATACAGCAGGGAAAAAAAATCCAATTAGTTTTTAGGTTATTGCATATTTGCAATATCAGGTCTACCTTGTTTATCACCAGTTACTGCAACAACAAACATGAATTCCCATAATGCCTTTTTTAGAGATATATTCTTACATCTAGGCATAATGTGCAGAAGAAGTACTGTAGGAAATTGATAGGCTTTTGTTACTAAAATTTTCAGGAATGTACATTTTCTGCAAGTTCTGGGAGAGTTTACTCTGCTATGCAGAACCACATTTAGGAAATTGTTTCAGGAACTGTGTCTAAAGGGATCTTTGTCCCATGTGTTTGTATGGAATAAATAAATAAAGAAATTAAAAGGCACTGTGAGGATCCTGGTTTCAATTTTGACTCAGGCTGTTCATCCAGCCTTGAATCTGTTCTCAGTGACTTCAGCTTTATATGGCTTGGTTAACCTAGCTCTAACATTTGTTAAAAAGCAAAATCCTCGTAAGTACTATAAGTTGTGTCTGAGATGAGCAATCTTGCATTAGTAGAACTTGTAGCCTTTTGTTTAATGAGATTATTTGCAATTTTGACTGGTAGTTTATTTATGTATTACATTATTTTACTGTTGTTTAGGATTAGTAATATTTTTACTTGGATTTGAGAGCTTAGGTAAAGTAAATTTAAGAAATGACAAATCATGCATAAAGATGCATCTTGCATTAATAATTTAGTATAACTTCAGAATGCAAAACTGTAGAAAGCAACGTTTCAGTAAAAATACTATACAAAAACCATTCATAGATCAATTACTTTGTAATCATAACTACATGGAGACACTGGGATGAAATAATCATTATTTTGTATAGTGTATTGTCGGTATTAACTTGGAGTGTTGTACTTTGTGTAGAATATGTTCGGATATTTAACATATTGATATTTTTATTTTTTTTAATATTTAACCACATAAACAAAACACCTATTGCAGTTACTGCATATGTTCTTGTGCAGACATTGCATGCACATCCAAATTCTGAGTTGTCTTTTAGCATTATAGAGGAGCACACCTGCACACATGCATCAAAGTGCTGTTGGGCATGAAGTGAAAGAAAAGGAAGAGTAGACACTATTCATTCCTCTCTCTCTCAAGTATTTTGGCAGTTTTCTCTTAAATGTAGCATTCCCAATTTTATATTCACTTGCTTATCTCTTCCTCATTTAGAGATATCCTGTTCAGTAACTTCACTTTGGGCCTCAAAGACATTGTCTCCCCGGAGAAATTCAACAACTCACAAGTGAAAAAAAGTCATAAACTTGTTTTCTAACCATCAGTTTTCTATGTACCAAAACTATAATTGTGATAAAAATAACGTAATGAAGGTGTACAAGTCTTTTTCCTTTTTATCATTAGCATTCATTCATGTTATTTTAGTGCTTTATGCAAATAACAGTCTATATAATTTTATTTTTATGTTCATCAGTTTTAAAAATCAGGGATCGAATCAATACTTTTTATGTTTTGCTTCCTGTGACAACATACCTTCATAATTATTACCAAATTTTAGTACAATAAATGGAGCACAACCTAGTCATTAAGTTAGTGTGTGCCTGTTGTGGACTTTTAGAATTTTTTGTCATGCAAACTATTAGAGGATTGTGGGAAAGGCAAACAAAATACCTAGATAATACAGTGTTTCAATACCTTAGTATTCAGAAACAGAAACCATGGAATAATTGTTTTTACTTTAGCAAATTTGGGAAAATTGGTTTTGTTTCTTTTAATTTTCCTTTTTAATGGGAGATGTTGGGTTGTTGGAAGGAATCTACAAAAGGTGGAACTTTCCAAACCCAAAGAATAGTAACTTGGGATGGGGAGGGATAGGACTAGATACACACTAGTATTGGTTGTGTTTTTCAAGATTTTTTTTTTCCTGAAATGCATATATTCTAGAGAAATGACACTTTAACTTTATGGAATCTTTCTGGTCCCAGTGTTATTGCAAAGAGACAGATTGCTAATTGCAGCTGCTGAGCTACAGTCAGGCCCAGTCACAATTCGCATCAGTGGCTGCACCCAAGCGGTCCCTCGGGAACCAAATGAGGTGGAGGAGGTTTGCCTCTGATGGGAGCCCCGGCCAGGTCATTAGGTGTTTGCAAAATACTCTGCATCAGTTGGAAACAGAATAGTATCACTTAAATGTTGATGTCTGACTCAAACTTCATTTGATGATTTGTGTTGTCAATGCTTTATGTTGTTTTTCTCCTCACAGTCTGTTTACGTGTATAGATCCTTTCAGCATCGTATCTGAATGTCTCTAGGTGGTTCCAAAATGGAAATTACTACTAGGATTGTTTCTCTTACTCTTTCATCTGCCTTGTAGGAGAAAATGTATGACTATTCTGTAAAATAAATGTCTTATTTGCATACGTTGATGATAAATTGGTAAATGAATACTTTAAAGTGGAGAAAATAAGTTAAAATGAATTTTGTTTTTCTGACCCATTTGATGAAGTGCCCGAGTGCATATATAACTTTTGAATGCATGGGGAGTCCTTTTAAGCATCATTGACTGCTCATTTACTTTGAGGTATGTGTGAACTGAAGGGCTGTGATCACTGAAAGTTTTCTGCTAAAAGACATATGTGGTCTTGCAATTCCTGCCATGCAACCACATATTTTCAAGCCATGCCTTGAAATGACTTCTGAAAAAGTAATGCTGTTGACTTGGATGCTGTGAATTTGACCCACTGATATATCCTGTGGGATTTCAGTGTAAAGCTGATCTTTAAAAAAATCAAATGCAGTGTTGATGCAAGAATAATCCTGAAGACTGAATCTTTCTTCAAACCTAGAATTCAGGTATAGAAGAATCATTGACTTGTCACACTATCCTGCCAAGACCTCAGAAATACACTCTTCAGGATCCATTTCATAATTACAGGTTGAAATATTTATTTACCTTTTTTCTCTAAGAATGTCCTTAAGATGACTCCATGGGTAAGCACTGGCCAGAGATGACCAACTTATTATGTGGAGGCTATCAAATGGTAATTGTCTTCAGTCATTACTGAACCAATTAATTTAAGATAATATGCTGAATTAAAAATGACATTTAAGGTTTTAATTTCCTCTTTGTTGTTTAATAAAGAGAAGTAAGGTTTAAAAATAAAAGCATTTGGTTCATGTGAAGTTCCTGAATCCTCTATTCATCCTTAATTGTAGGCTGCTTATTGTGTGAGATGACTCCGTATTTCACTTGCACAGAAGCAGTAGTGATGGCTGTGGTATTCCCTACTAATTCAGAAATTCAAATTTTAAGTTGAACCTGTTCAGCTTCAGTTAACTAGCAGAAAAGGTGCTGGCTCTCAGAGGTGCAGTGCTTCTTTGAGATTTTACTGCTCAGAAATCTAGGCCTTTTGCAAGAATGGACATGTTGTCATCACACCACCTCTTCGTTCTTACTTTTAAGTGACGTACTTGATTCACCTGCGGCCTTTGTTTCATGGATAAGGAAGGGATAATAATTCAGGTAAAGCTCATAAATAATTTGAAACTATGGTATCCTACTTAAAGGTAAAAATGTTTTAAAATTTTGTTTCTATAGTGATTATGATAAAGTGTGAAATCAGTAGGATTTTCCTATACTGCAAATTGTTTGAACAGTAATCATTTGTAATCTTAATGTTCTAGAACCCTGGGGCTGCTGGTAAAGCGATTGGAGAAAGGTGGAAAAGCTGAGCAAGAAAACCTTTTCCGTGAGAATGATTGTATTGTCAGGATTAATGATGGAGACCTTCGGAACAGGAGATTTGAACAGTAAGTATACTGACCGAACGTCATGTTGTGTGATTTAGTCTTTAACACTGCACCTTGCAGTAATTTGAAGAAATAAAGTATTAGAAAAAAAATTATCTGAGCTTGCCTTTCTAATAAAGAATAGATAGACTAAGGGACATTAGTGGTCTTTAATTAGCCAAACTACAAAGAATTCAGGATAATTATTGTCATTAGAGTATATACACTTCTCATTTGATTGTTTCTGCACATTTTGGGTTTTTTTTCTTCTTGCGTTGGTAAACTGTTTATCATTAAATTCTCGTGTGATTTTTGCTCTTATACTTGCAATGCATCATGTTCAATACATGTGGACAGCATGGAGACTTTAACATTTTAAAAACAGCTGTGGTTTTGTATGTGTGAGAACTGAAGGTACTGTATGCAAAAACTTCCTGGAGAAGTTTGAGAGATCATAAATATTTGCTCAGTGAAAGACTGGACTTGGTAGTATCCTGAAATGGTGAATCAGAAAGACTTTTAAAAGTGAAATCAAGTTGTAGTTCACACATAGATAACTGAAATAGAAAGCAGAAAAGACGTATACAGAAAATGAGTTACTTCAAAGATGATAATATTGTTCTGAAAATCCTAACATGTTGAGGGCCCAAGGAATATAATTTATTCTGATCATCCTATACTTAATATACATTTGAAATGTGTTTTTATTTCTTTGATTCTGACCTGGATTGGAACACAACCGTATACAATACGGTTGAAAGCAGCTTGTCTCTGCTTGTTCTATGGTTTTGAATGACAGTTTGCTAACTCTGTGAAGAGACTTGTTGACTTTGTGTACTTTGGATCGTGACCTAGAGCCCGATGTCTGCCTGTGCAAGATTAAGCATTTTTTTCATATATCTTAGTGTGTTCTGAAAGACTAGTAACTTACAAAAAGTAAAGTGTAAACTAGACTTTTTTGCAAGACTGCATATACTGTCAGTAAATTATGGAAATACATAGTCTTTGTATAAAGTGTAATTTTCTTTCTAATAGTTCTGTTGTCACTCTGATTACTGTACCTGAAGAAGCAATTATGAAGGTTCAAAACAAAATGACACTGCAATCCTGCCATAGAACTTTCTATATTTTAAGACTGTGGATAAGATTTTTCCTTTTCCAAGTCCAGTATTTAGTATGTGAGTTGTTAAGCATATTTAACCATTGTCTTACCCTGAGGCAATAAACCTTAGCAAAAAGCAGACCAAGTAGACTAGTGAACAGATTCAAGTTTTATGGTTTATGCTTGAATGCAATGTGTCTGTCAGCTCGTGTTGCTTAATTAACATCAGTAATTATGCTTATAATGTCTCGTAGTCTGCCAGTCCTAATTTGCTAATTTTCTGTTCATTTTGAAACCTAGAGCACAGCATATGTTTCGACAAGCCATGCGTACGCCATTCATTTGGTTCCACGTGGTCCCTGCGGCAAATAAGGAGCAGTATGAACAGTTGTCCCAAAGCGAGAACACATACTACTCCAGTCGGTTCAGCCCCGATCCCCAGTATGCTGACAGCAAAAGTATTAACAATTCTGGACTTCACACATTGCAAAGAATGTCTCGAGCGGGTAACCAGTCCGATCAGACAGACTCCTACTCGCAGCTACCTCATAGTGTGAATTCATCAGGGAAACCCCCCTCGGGCCTGGTACCATCACCTCAGAAAGTTCTCACCTCCACTGCGAACAGTGGGTATAACACCAAAAAGATAGGGAAGAGGCTCAGTATACAGCTGAGAAAAGGTAAGACAGCAGTACACTCCTCATGTAGCATGACATAGGTGTGCGTAGTGTATGTACGTGTGTCAAGTGCCATTGTATTGGGCAGGACAGCTTGCAGTAGCATGGGGGATATGATGGGTCAATTTTTGAAGGCAAGGGGCTGGGTTGTCCCTGACAGCACGCCCAGGGTCCAGCTGTGCATTCATGTGGTGCAGTGTGTTTGCAAAAGGCTGTTTTGAAGAGTTACTTTGTTGGGTTTTTATTGGCTTTAGCGTAATTTCTGGCTCTCAAGTAATAGAGAAGTGCAGTAAATGCTACAAATTCTGTTGGCCAAGAACCAGGGAATGGTGAACTATTAATATAAGTGAGTAAGTAAAAATGGCCACATTCTCTACTTTAAAGATATCATGACTTTTCAAATTGAGAAACTGCAGTTTTACCATTAGATTTTGAAAGTGTGTTGGATCCAGTTGGTAAATTGGACTTTCTTATTTCCAGCTAAAGCTTTTCTTTGTTCCACTGGGATGTGAAAGTCTTTGTTTAAAAGGTTGAGATGTAATGTGATATTTCCTATCTTGGGCTTTATGCTAATGTAATTTGAATGGGGGTGAGAGACTATTTAAGGACAGAGGAGAAAGTGGTGCATGCTTATCTCAACATCTGTGTTATATGTGCACATGTAGATGCATTGGTATATCTGTGGAATTTTTATGATGTTTTAAATGTCTTAACTGAGAAAAATAGGTATTTTTGCATAGTTACCATCCAGATGCTTTTAAGATGGTTTGCAGTATAAGAAAATGACATTTAGGCATAATTTTTTCTTAGCTCTCGGGAAATATTTTTTTTTAAGGATTACACGTGCTATAAGCTTGATGGTGTTAGAATGAGCATATTTAAGGTTAGATATAATTTGATCTCTAGGAACAAGAATAAGGTTTACATTACACAGCAAAAAGTTTACCCATGTGACAGTATCCTCTGTGAACTTGAAGTACGTTCTCCTTAGGATATTGTATGTGCTTAGTGTTAATAATATTTATTAATTAATCTTTTTATGGAAAGGTATCAAAGACAATGTGTTGAGTGGTAGAGATTTTACAGTTTCCCAGGTACCAGGCTACTTGTCACATTATCATTAAGCTTTCCTTTCTATGAACTTCACATGAACCACCAGATTGCTTCTTTCTGCTTGCTGAATTTTAAGCTCTACAAACTTGGATGACATAAGGTTGAGTTGACAGTTTGCTTCTGTTGTTGATGCTCCTTCAAGAAATTCTTCAGGCCATCAGCTCAGATCAGCCTGTTATTGGCTGAGTAAGGAATCACTGTGCTTACAAATATGCTCTCAGTCACTACAGTGATTTTTACCTTTTTTTTTTTTCTGTGTGTGTGTCTGCGGAAGCCTGTAGGAGTATCCCTCGGACATTACATAAAAGTATTCTTAGCCAGGAGTGGAACTATACTTTTCATATAATTTAAAAGCACCAACAAATGAATATAGAATATGGGAACACAATATTTTTGCATGAAACAAGTGTGGCGTTATAGCTGCTCATAAGATATGACAATATAATTTTGATGTGTTATGTATTCTTTGACTGTGATGTCAGGTTACATTTTGGTAATCTTGCACTGGATACTGTATCATAAATACTCTCCCTTCTTCTGTAATGTAATTTAGCTGTGATGGCACCTATATGTTAGATGGTATTGGAGGGAAGGAGATGCATGCTACCTGTTGATGGAAAGTGATTTCTAAGATACTTTAACATCTAATTCATACCAGCGAAGTCTGATGGCTCTTACATTAGTAAAAGCTTTGAAATACATATCTAGACTACATTTTAGAATTTCAGAGGGGATATTTGTTCCTAACAGTTTGCTTGTGTGAGAACACTACTCATGAAGAAATGGCACCTAGCTCAGATTATAGACAGACAGAAACTCTGTAGTGTACTGTATTTTATGCATGGTGCTACTTTAAAAAAAAAATTGTCTGCAAGGAAGCTTACCTTTTTATTGTTGCTGTCTTGTCTTTTGGTAATATCCACTGTGGGAAGAGGCATGTCCTCCCATTCTGGCTTTTATTTGATCACTATGAGAACATACATGTGGAGCAACAAATAAAACAAAACACTTAAGGACGCCCCCAAGTATTTTGTTATAAATATAAGTGCAATAGGGATGTTGATTATCTTTGATTATTTCTAATGAAGGATGTTGTAATAATACAGTCTTTAGATATTTAACAAATGTGCTTTCTTTGTAGCTAACAGACAGCAGTTATTTTACCGATTACCATAATCAGATTAAAAACTCCTTGTGGGGAGCATTAAGGCATACAAGCATGTAAAGCTTCATCTTGAAATTCACTTTCGATTTAACCTGTGCATTCTGGTTAATGACGTATTATATGAGAATTTTTCGATACAGACAGACCTTCTTTATTACAGCTGTGTTTCTGTATATTACATGAGCTTTATTATATAAAATGACATGGTAAGATAACCCTACAGTATGTGCTTCTGTAATTATGATTTCTTAATATTTATTGCTGTTTTGGCATTTTAAAATAACCTGAACTTTCATAGGATTTAGCTGTTTAATAAAGTCAGAAGAGAAGGTCAGTCATATGTTTCAGTCAATGCAGAATGTTTGTTGGCTTTTCTAAATGAAAATGGATATCTGTTTGTCTTTCCTTAAAGGTCAGGGCCTGAACTTTTAGCATATAGATGTAGGGTTATTGCTGATATTCTAATGCCATTAAGGCTGTATAACAGTCTAGCTTAATAGCTCACACAAATTAAGATAGTACAAGAGGTGACAGTGAGCCTGTGTTTATGTATGTTTTGGTGTAAGCTGATACACAGTAAGCATAAATAAATAAAAAATAGTTCTTTACAGCTAATGTATAGAGAAAATAAGACCACTGATAAAACAGAGTGTTAGGACAAATTTTGACCTCACGTACACCAGGACAATTCCAGAGTGTTTTTTCTTTGGCTGCAAGGGTTCAAGCCAATGCAGTTGAGAGAAATTTAGTCCAGCACTTATAAATAATAAATAACCAATTATAGAACAAATGATTCTAAGGCTTAGTCTTTGAGCACTGAGTAACTCGCAACTTTTAGCCTAATACTCACTAAAGCATTCAAGAGACTGCTTTTCAACTGGACATTGTGTTATTCAGATTTTATACTGATTTTGACATCATTGTACTAAGACAAATCTGAAGTACTCAGTCTTTAAATTAGCTTCATTTTATTTGATTGCCCTTAACTATAATACTCATTGCATTGGATCATTTCTATCTATAACTACATATTTGTCTAGCTAAATTAAATATATAATTCTTGATGTAAAATGTCAAAACTGAGCTCTTGGTGTCTAAGTTGTCCCTAGTTCTACCATATATTTTACTATTTTTTGTCTGAAGTATTCAGTGCATCGGGGCTTCAGTCTACATCTCCCCACTTCCAGAGAACAACTTAAGTACTGGCCTTGGGAGCTGTCATCGTTGCATCCTTTTTAGCTCAAAGAATATTTCTCTCTTGCAAAATAGTATAGCTTCAAGAGAAAGAAATGAGTGACACAACTGCAGGATACTCTACAACAGGCAAGCTGTAGGAATGGCCAAGTCCATCACAAAAAGGACATAGCATCTGTGTTCTAGGTGTTCTCAGCCCAAGTTCCTTTCTGCAGTAAGTCATTAGAGACAAATAAGATGCCATGGATAGTTCGGGAGTATGCTAATTTAAAATGGCATCATATTTGCTACGGACTAAAGCACATATATGGACAATTACTTGTTTTACTTGGGTTTGTATAACAGAGTGTACAAGACAGGACCCAGAACTTGTCTGTAATCCTGTATCATATATCTGAAGTGTACAGATTTATATGCATTTTTCATCATACTCTCCAGTTTTCCCACACAGTTTCTTGAGACAGACTTTGAACTGACATTTTAAATTTTTATTTAAAATTTCTTTTGAAGTGATATGTTCTCTTAGACTGATTTTAGAACTCCTGTTCAGATGCAGTAGGAGTGTTTGTCACTTTTGGAATGAAGCATGTATGTTCCTAAATTACTTAAGTGACCTTGAGAAATGAAACTCAAAAGCCACTGAAGAAATGTAAACTGCATCAAGTTTTATCTTTCCATTTTTAAAAAGCACTTCTGATCACTATTTATTAGGAGGCTGTAGCAAAAAGGAAAGAATGTTTCTATTAGGTTGATCTTTTTGAGGGGTCTGAGCTTTGCTTGGAGAAAAAAAAAAGTTCTTCCAAATCACTCAGTTACATAAAAATGGGCATGCAATTAATTTGTCTCGATTGTGCACGTAGCTGTAGGAATTCTATAGACAGCTGAGCAGTTAGCCTTCTAAGCACTCATTTGCACATACAGTCACCCTGACTACACATACACAAATTCTGAAAGCATGGGGCTTAAACAAGGAACAGTAAAAGAACTTTTCAGGAAGTATCTAAAATGGTCTTGGTTAGCTTAGCAAAGCAGCTGACAATAAGGGGAACGTACTTGCTGTTCAGCTCTTGCATGAGGAGCAGTCCTTAATAAAAACTGCTTTCTAGCATAAAACAGTAGGATAATTATTTCAGCAATCACCCATCCATACATGGATCTCAAGGAAGAGTCTACTGTGAAAAAGCAGGAACTTGAAATGCTTGGAAGGAGAGTGTCTGCTCTGATTATTGTCAGAGAGTGTTTGGCCCTTCAGCTTAGCTTTATTGTAATGTTATCTCTCTCCTTGATCATTTTATAATCTAATACTTTCATTAAGTGGAGAGATGCTTTATTTTGTGATTTTTGTGACCTTGTGTCACAAACTGTTTGTATGTGTAACCAACCTCCCTTATTGTTTTAGGAAAGGGAGAGTGTGTTCTTTGTCTTTCATGAAGAATCTGCACTTTGCCTTAACAATCCTTTATTCCATCTGAGGACTGTTCACCCACATGGGTTTTCCATATTTAGGTTGTTCTGAAATGTTCTCTGCTTC